AAAAAAAAAAAAAAAAAAAACGATCGATAGCTATTCTCGATCGATAGCGCAATCAATACCCCTAACAACGCCAATGTTGACACATACATAATGAAGGGGCCGGGAATTAATAAATCAACATGTAAAGTAAAATAAAAAAAATTATATAGTAAATGTAGGAATGTAAGTAATATGATCGTTTAGATTGTTATTATAAGTATCATGGTATTATGATTACTTACGGAGTCAACAACGACGTACGTGTAATAGGATGTATGAAATAATATATCAAATTTAAATTGTAATCCTTCTGATTCTTTCAATCTTCAGAAAGTTCCAATTTTCCTAAAAAAAAAAAAAAAGATCAGATTAATTTACACGATGAGTAGAAATTTCTTTTTAATTCTGTATATCTAAGATACAAAGACTAAGAACGGAGTCTACGAAATTCTTAAATTAATAGTCAATTTATACATATATTATAAATTCTTAAATTAATAGTCAATTTATAAACATGGAACATTCTTCTTTCTCATCTGTCTTTATTACATATTTTTCTCATAAATATAATACAGTACAGTGTTATATTAGTTTTATTGCAACTTGTATTAACTTGAATCATCGTTGAAAGAAACATACGCGTAGAAATAACAACATATAAAAAATTAGCAGAGTCTCTGAGCTTCTCTACGTCTTTAATACAAATTTTTGAATTTGTAAAATACCGCGCGCTGGATCGTGGACAAGAACCCTTCACGCATGCGTCGGTAACTAGTTGGACGCGCCAGTTTAGGGCGCTCTCTGACGGTAACGAAGGAAATCAGGACATCGGCCGTGAACCCCGCTAGGACGCGGCGTGGGTTAATATCCCCCTCAGTACCGCGCGTCGTTTCGTGGTGTTCGGATGTTTCGTTCTTAGTTTCGTGCAGTGTGTTGATCGGTTGGCAAGCAGGCTTCACACGCAAAAGGAAATAGAATGACAGCGACGTGAAGGCTCTGAGAAACACGGAACGGTCTTCCAGCTCAGTCGCTTCCCCCGAGTGAGTTTCGAGTCGCGCGCGTTTCTTCAGATTGGAGCCATCGAAAGGATGCGGCGTCTCGACGCAACTACGCTTTTGCTCTGTCTTCGTGAGTACCGTATATACATGTAATATACGCACGTAACGACGAGTCGAACAAGCCATCCTTTCCCACCCTACCGTTCATCCCCTGCTCGTGCCAGTGAATCACTGAAAGAGTACGGAAGGGGAGAGAACGAGGAATGGTATTATAGATAGAAACGATTCCGTCTGTCGTTCGAAATCGTTCAGTCCCCCCACTTCCCCACCGTATTTTACTTCGAATCGGTTTTACATTCGTACCTTTCTTCTTTTAGCTACGCTAATAATTACGGTTAATTCGCTCTCGACATTCAAAACAAACCTGTCCGTGTTGAAGAACTTTTTTTTCGTACTCCAATCTGTTTCTCTTTTGTTTTTACATTTGCTCAACAAAAAGTATTCTCTGTCTCGAAACTGGCTCTGTTTATCCTCGGGTCTTTACAGCTTCGTTAGTTTTATCTTCAACCTTCGTTGCGTTTCTACGATCGCGTTTTGCTACTAATTTCACAATACGATAACACGTCGCGACTTCGGCTTCGATTTCAAAGGAACGATACGGTTAAATCTTCGCAAAGAACGTTTCCATTTCGCTGGCAATAAATTCGCGTGGCCGAGAGATCAAAGAACGGGGGAGAATCGGCGGCGGAAGCGTATCGGGCATTGACTGGAGATCGAGAGCAATGGCAAAGCCGCGTCGTCGATGGCCTTTTAATACTGTCGGTGAATTCGCCCGCTCCAAAAAGCGGGCTTCTGCCTCCAATTCGCAGTCGGTAGGCGAAATCAGCCGTGCCGATCTCTCACGTGCACCGTCTTGAAATTTCGTCCTCGCGACGATGTGTTATTGATAACGATACCTGGCAATGTTGCCAGCGATGTTAGTGATGGTAGTAGTAGTGGTATCGTTGGCAGCATGTTAGGTCGGGTGGATGCTGGCTACGATCTTTCTCCATCGTCCATGATGCCGGCCGGTAACACACTGCTGCCGCCTCTCTCACCCTCTTTCTCTCTCTTTCTCTCTCTCTCTCTCCCTCTCGAAGAGGAGAACCGGTTCGATAGCCATGCACACCTAGAAAGCGAATATACGCAGACTCGGCGGAAAAGGGGGGCTATATTACGTATCCACCTACCTAATATCGACGGTAACGTCGTGTACGTGTGGCTGCACGTGTAATTAGTAGCGATGGCTGCGAACAGGATCCTCGGGCGAAGACGACACGTTGGTCGATGCTAGATTTTCTTTGCCGAACCCTTAAGGTTTGACCCTCGACGTACGAGAGGTGGGCAGACTCGTTGAATTGTACGAAAGAGAGATATTTATCAAGCTTCTCGAGTGATCCCATTTAGTAATAATCTAGCCAAGTTAAAAAAAAATGCCAAATGGACCCATTCGTTGCGCATTTTATCTTTATTTGCGACTTTACTCACACATAACCCATTGCTGTTTCGATTCCCACGATTGTTTTGGTCTCATCGGGTAGCTCGATAGTTCGAAGCGCGCCGAATTGACCTCTGCTCCAATTGTGATATCCATCTAGCAACGGCTAGTCAGTATTCGATCTGGCGAAATCAAATTTAGATGCGAATTCAGGAGGCTGAATTTCGACCAGAGAGAACCGTGCTCGATCGAGGCCGCCTCTCTGG